ACCCACACACAAATACACAAGAAAATAATGACTAATGAGCACTAATAATATAAATAATACTTGTCTTTTTGATGTTTAGGATCAGCATGAAACTGAAGAAAATTGTTGCTTTGCTTGGTTAGGGCTGGCCAATATGCAAACACTCAATGAAGGCATTTACCCTACTGTTCTTTGTTACCGTTTCCAGCATCTGCTCAGGTCTACTCATATGGTTACCATTTATCTGGATGTACTGAAGTGACAAATTGTCCGTGAAAACAACTGCTAATCATATATACATTGCATTTGCTGCTGAGATAATTCTAGATGAATCAGACTTTCAAGGCTTCTAATTTTTAACCTTATGTGTCCATGTGTGGCTATCAGGTATGTCTTCTTATAAAAATAATTCTTTATAAATGTCAATTTCAAAATGACAGTTTGTCAAATTTTCTTTTGGTATTTTATAAAAAAATTAAGCAATGTTGTGACAGGCCTATACACTTTAGTAGAAGTTCAAGAATATGATACACTTGAGGTAAGGGCTGGATAGAAAGCCCATAGCCAAACTTGGAAGACACCACACCTAACAATTTATATAGACGATTTTGTGATATACTTTAGTTTGCATCTTGCACATAAACTCTGAGCTATTTCCACATAAACATCATTCAAATTCCACCCAACCATGGCTCACAGCTCAAGAAACATGGTAACCTGCTCGAGCCCACTGTACAACTTGCAGGAAGCTGAACTAACTGCTCAGAGTCATCTTTCCAGGCAGCCTCTTTGACTTTTGCTTCTTCTAGGGACCTCACCTAACCTCTGGTTTTCATTTTTCAAAGCAGTTCAGCTTATGTATGCTTCTTACAGGTAAATCACATTGTTTCTTCCAGTAGATGCAGCAGTTCTGACAATCATTTAGGCAGCTCATTGTGTCAGAGAGTGGTTCTTGATGTTTCTTGAGGTGTCCACATGTTTGGAATGAGATTCCTAATTAATTTGGCCAGGTTCATGGACTGAAGAGCTTGAAATGTTATTTCCTGAGCATAATGGGTTTTCCTGCAGGATGGACTTTTCCCTCACCTTAGAATCCATGTTGTTTCACCTCCTCCCACTTTAACATCTGACAAAAGAAGCTTCCCTCCAAGATAGAAGGTTTAATCTCAGAGGAGATGGTTACAGTTACTTACAAACTTCCGTAACAGAAATCTAATCTCAGATGAGCCCACATGGTTTTGATACCATATATGAGAAGATAGTGATAAAACACATCAAAAGACATTAAAGATATAGAGATTATCAAGGCCAAAGCAGGTCCCCACTTCATTTCCCTTCTTCATGCAGTCTCCACCTTACTCCACAGCATCTGGGAAAGCTTACCAGCACCAGCAGTATCCTCCATTCCAACCACAGAGGCCACTTGACTTGATTTATAGAGAAGCATACAATTTTCTACTTCTGCCTTTATCTACAGCCATACAACATATTATAAAATATTCAGTGCACATCATAGGTCATAACAAAGTGGAACTATGAATTAAATTAACTGGAATTTTCTGGGGAGGCAAATGCTGTGGGATTAAAGTTGTTCTTATTTTCTACTGTGGACAAAATTTGTGGAATGTGGAAAATTGACCCATCTTAGATTTGTATAGTTCATTCCTTAATAGAAAAATTATAGAAATTTCTTATCTCTTTTTGGATGTCAGCTATATAGCCTAACTGATGCATAGCTGATAGATACATTAAAATGTGTCAGTGAAAATCCTGACAGTCAGAGAAAGGAGGAGCATATACTAACTGTGTTCAGAATATATTTTCCCACACTAGAACACATACAGGATTATGAATACTGTAGCAAAAGGTTTGGGATTTTTGTTTTTGTTTTTGTTTTTTGATTATTGAGTATAAAAGCAAAGAAGATGGTAGGAAGAAAAGGAAAAGGTTCATGAAGGAAGTCACTGAAAGGCAAATGGTAAAAGATTTGTATTGAGACTAAGCAGGCTATAAGGAAACAAGATTAGTTCTGCATCTCTGCATCTCTGTGCACTTTGCCATTTGATGTAAGCACACCAAAGGTGAATGACGTATATAGACATGAGTCACAAATTGAGAGATATCCTTGTGGCTGAACTTACTTACATAAGAGGGACTTGTATTACTGGGAGAAATGGGAACATAGACAGTTGAAAATGCTGATTCATCCTGGGCATTTTGAGCTAAAATTTTGAACAATGAACAGTCTGTTCCTACCAAACCATCTACTACCTCTCAGAACCCATAAGGTAGTTGTGGCAGTAAGTATAGCAGAACAGAAAGAGTCATTGGTTTACTAATTGTTTTATGGATATATATGTGACACTTCAACTGATGCTATTTAGTCAGTGCCATGCCAGATGATAGCATAAGGTAGAGGTTTCAGGCAGACTGAGTACAAAGTATAGAATAATAAATAGAGAACAGTCTCTCAAACAGGCTAAATTAATCTATTTTAGCTCTCCATCCTTGTTAAGACATGAGACCTTTTCTTACTTTATTGCATCTTGGTACAACTCTTCTTAGTTATCATAGCTTTTCTCAATATCAACAGCAATACATATATTCTATTGAAGCTGGATACTTTATGCAAAATTTTCATGATATAATGCTATTCTCTTCAAGGCTTGTTATTTGCAAAACCATGAGGACAAGGAAGCACACTAGAAATTAAAAATGAGTAGAAGTCACTTATCACATTTGAAAAGCATCACTCCACATACATATTCTTTTAAAAAATTAAAATTATTTAACCTTTTTTATTATTTTACTTATTAATCCTAGTTCTCTCTCCCTCTCATCTTCCCATATTCCCCACAGACCTCACCATCCCATTCCCCATCCACTTCCCAGGGAGGGTAAGGCCTTCCATGAGGGATCATCAAAATCTGTCGAATCATTTGGGTTAGGACCTAGGCCCTCCCCCTTGTCTCTATGGTAAGGGAGTTTTCCTCCATGGAAAATGGGCTCCCAAAGTCCATTCATACACTAGGGATATGTCCTGGTTCCACTGCCAGAGGTCCCATAGACTACCTAGGTCTCCTAAGTTAGACCCATGGTCAGGGGGTCTGGGTCAATCCCATGCTGGTTTCCCAGCTTTCAGTTAGCTGTTTCTGTGGGTTTGTCAAGCCTGTTCTTGACCCCTTTTGTCATCACTTTTCCCTCTCTGCAACTGGATTCCAGGAGTGCCATTCAGTGATTAGCTGTGGGTGTCTGCTTCTGCTTCCTTTAGCTACTGGATGAAGGCTCTAGGGTAGCATGTAAGGTAGATAAGGCGTTATCAGGGAAGGGAATTTAAGGTAGCCTCTCCACTGTTGCTCAGATTGTTAGTTGGGTTCATGCTTGTAGGTCTGTGGACATTTCCCTAGTGCCAGATTTCTCTTTAAACCTATAATGGCTTCCTCTATTATGGTATCTCTTATCCTCTATTCTTTCCCTGACTCAAACTTCCTGTTTCCTCATGTTCTCTTCTCCCCTCTTCTTCTTCCCTTCTCTTTCTCCTATCTCCCTCTCCCCACCCCTGCTCCCAATTTGTTCAGGAGATCTTGTCCCTTTCTCCTTCCCTGGGGGACCACATATGCCTCTCTTGGGGTCTTCTTCATTTCCTAGCTTCTCTGGTGGTATGGATTGTAGGCTGGTGATCCTTTACCCTATGTCTAAAATCCATATATGAGTGAGTAAATACCATGTTTGCTTTACGTGACTGGGTTATCTCACTCAGGATGCTTTCTTCTAGTTCCATTTGCCTGTGAATGTCAAGACTCCAATGCGCCCCCCCCCCAAACTGGGTAGTACTTCATTGAGTAAATATACCACATTTTCTTTATCTATTCTTCCGTTGAGTGACATCTAGGTTGCTTCCAGGTTCTGGCTATTACAAATAATATGCTGATATGAACATAGTTAAAAAGTTGTCCTTGTTGCATAAATGTTATCTTTTGGGTATATGCCTAAGAGTGGAATGGCTGGATTTTGTGGTAGACTGATTCTCATATTCCTGAGGAACCACCATACTGATTTCCAAAATGGCTGTACGTGTTTGCACCAGCAGTGGAGGAGTGTTCCCCAGATACTTTCAAGTCCAATGAATGCATTAATGCATTAAAAGTACCTTTTTAGGACTTTGGGAGCTCATTCCCCATGGAGGGTTACTCCCTTAACCTAGAGGCAGGAAGGAGGGCCTAATTCCTACTCCAAATAGCTTGACAGATTTTGTTGATCCCTCCTGGAAGGCATCAATCTCCTTGTGGAGTGTGTGGGGGGGGATGAGATGGGAGCATGGTGGTGGGGGCATGGGAGGGAGGGAGAGAAGGAGGAAGAGGGGACTGGGATAAATATGTAAAATAAGAAAAATAAATAAATAAAAACTTTAAAAAATGTACCTTTTAAACATTTGTGTTTCTGCCTACTTAATATTGATAAAGATTCTTCTTTTTTTTTTAGTTTGGAGGATAAGTCAATAAATTCATATTTTGATAAAAAGTTGAGAAGAATTGACTGTAGATAGGACATGCTAGCCTCAAACTCAAAACATAACTGATGGAAGTTATTTGTCACCATCTAAAAAGCTCATAAATCTTAACAGAAGATATTACAAAGATAATATAGAATTCTGATCTAGAAAAAGTATGAGGAAATAAATATGTTTTTATGCATGACATGATTCTGAGTCATTAAGGTACTGAGATGACATTTGTGATTTCTAAAATAATTTGAACCCTGGACATGGTTCCAAAAAGTAAAATAATACGTAAAGAGCCAGAACTGTGGCAAGAGTTTTCTTCTTTATCCACTTCCTGAGTGGATAAAATCTTGAAACTTTTGCCTAGACAAGAGACCTTGCTCTCTTCTGTCCCTATACGTAAAAGGCCATGGATAGATTCTGTTAGTATATATAGGAGGTGATGAGTTGCGAGAAAACAGCACTCAGCTACAGCAGCTTTCCTGTGTTGTAGTTCACGGAGCAGCAGGTCTTCTCAGAGATGAAGCTGTCATTGACTGAACTGTCCTTCTGTAAGTCACAATTGATCCATACTCCCCTACTTTATTAATGTATTATTTCAAGATGATGGGTTTGGATGGAATATATTCTTTGTGCTATAATATTTGGGGAACTGATGCATTTTATGACTTACCTGAAAAAAGTCAACAGGGTGCTGAGAATTAGTTTTTGGAAACTAGTTGCTGAATGAGCCTGGACATCCATGGTTCTCTAGGGGAATCCTTCTTCTGTGAGGACATATGCCAAGCAATGTTCATAGACATTATATATTATTTTAACTTAGTTTAGTTTTTTATTTTCATTTTTGATATAAGGAAAATAGTGAGCAGAGTTACAGGTCTCTAATGGGCACCCACTTCTAACCATCTTCCATTGTACTGGACACTTAAAAAAGTAAACTAAAAATGATCAAAAAGCTTAATTTGAGAAGGTGAACTTTTTTGAGAACATTGGGCTCAATGGCATGATTTGACAGTCACAGAGAGAGGAAATAAATCATAGGTTGTCAGGGTTTGGACAATTTTCTCCTTAAATAAATCCACCCGAGGAAGAGTTAGATTTTAGAACCTTATTTAAACAAGAAGAGTAGATTTGTGATTTTACTAATTTGTTACATGCAAAAAAAAAAAAAAGGTCAAAGGTCAAAGGAAAAGCATGTTTGTTTTTACAAGTCATCTTAATATTCAAGTGATATTTGCATGAGAATGAATTAGCTAACTATTTAACTTTAATGAGATGGAAAATATACACACATTACTACAACTTAGAAATATTAGAAAAGAATGGCTTAAATATTATATATTATTCATGACTGACTAGACCTTGCCAGATGATTCAGAAAGCAAAGTCAGCCACAAGACATATCAACCAGACACACACCTGAAATCTCAGGACTCAGGATTAAGAAGTAGATGAATCTCTGTTATTCTACACTGAACTATAAGAAATTTATCCAGTCATAAAGAGAAACAGCTTACACAAAGATGATATAAGCACTTAGTACCACACATCTTTAATCCCAGGACTCCTGAGAGGTATATAAGATAGGAGCACGGTCTCAGAGCTGGCATTCATTTTCCAGCCACATCGAGGGTAGGAAGACATTGAAGTCTCGGGATTCTCCAGCCATGCTGAGTAGAGGAGGCAGTCTGAGGTTTGGTGGAGCCAGGATTGCTCTGAGTTAGAGTAAGAGCTTTGTGACAAGCTGCTTTAATTTTCTGATCTTCAGCTTGAAGTTTGAACTCCAATATCAGTCTCTGGGTCTTTTACTTTTTGTGTTACACTGTCTCAGGACTAATTTCATCTCAAAATGTTTGTAAATTTTAGAAACTCTATTGGGGCAAGCAAAGGCCAAGATAATTCTCCTACCTCTATTCACATTGGACAATTTATTCCAGATTTCATGTATACAGAAGCAAGTATTGTAGCACAAGGTCCTCAGAACAGTACATCATACACAGTGTCACTAATGTGTATTCATTTGAATGGATCATCTCAATTTTATTTCTCTTTGTAGCTGGGACACTGCTTTTCCTGACAATGTCAAATCTGCTCCCTTGGGAACATGTGGCCTCATCACCAGATTCCCATTTGTCCACTGGAAGCTTATACCAACGTATGGTTGAATTGTCACACTACACCCATGCACTTGCCTCAAAAGTCTTCAGTGACTTTGTAAGTACTGGACCTATTCTGAAGGGGCAATCAGAAAACTCAACTAATGAAACAAATTTCACATGTATTTAACAGTGAAATACAGACATTGAAACATGGGCAAGGGACAATTGGATGCTTCATAAAAACTTAAACTTGTAGAGGATGTAGCAACTGTACAATTTTTAACAATTATTTTTAAGCAACTTGTTTAGATACAAAGTCCAAACTACATGGATCATGGTACTGTGAACTCTTGTCCTTAGTGAAGGGGTCCTATCTATGTGGGCACTTCCATTTAGTACTCTGTAGTTATGTGATGTAAGAAAATTGTAATGAATTATGTGAGTAGATTAAAACTAAACAACAGAAAATCATAATAAGCAGAAAGAAGTAGCTAGTCAGAATGCCCCCCCATAGCCTTAGTAATGTTTTCAAATTTCCAAGATAAGTGTTTCATTGCAAACTGCATTGTGGTTTTCAAAAGAATTATCATCTCTATTCCTAATGAATGTACTAGATTTAGTTAGGGGAAAATCCATGGCAAAATTAGAATATGGAGCATATATTTTGAGTTGTGGTGAATATAATAACTTTACCTGGCCATTTTCACTCCTTAGTGTTTCTTTCATTCTGAAATCTATATCTATGGTTTTTTAGTTATACAATATTCCTAGAAATCCATTAAACTTTTACAAATTTCTTGATTTCTAGGAATAAAAATATATACTTTAGATAATAAATTCCTTAAGCAAATAGAAACTTCAACTGACACACACACACACACACACACACACACACACACACACACACACATATATATATATATATATATATATATATATAATATGTTTAATTCATTTAGTCACTGGTAAATATTTCATTAGAGTGTGCCTAAATTTTTATGATTGATTTTTACACCATCAGTAAGATTGCATCCTACCCATATGATGTAACTTTGTACTTAAAGGAAGTACTTATTTATAATATCAGTTTAAAGGGAATAGACTATAACTATGAACACACATGTGTATGCCACTACATAAATAGAAAAAGTGCTTAAACCCTCAGTGTTTTACAGTATGTGTATTACTCAGTACTTTGTTTCTAAACAATGCCATTCAGGAAGGGCAAAACCACAAAAGAATAGTATATAGAGAAGGAAAATGGTGGGTTAAAATTAGATTGCTTCTCTCTTGGCCAGGAAAAGTAGGCAGACAGTCTTAATTCCTGTTTCAATTTCTATATATTTATCATTTGCTAAAAAAATACATCTATATAATGTGTTGGTGGGTATGATTATAAAAATATTTGTTCAGTGTTTAACATTAAGAAATAAGACCTTTCAATGTCTTCCAGAATATGAAGTTTGGTAGGAGTATTTGGAGACAGAACCTGTTGTTAAGCACCTGCCACACTGCCTCTATTCCTGCTCCAGAAAACAGAGAACAAGTCCACCAAACCAAAGTATGTAGCTTTGATGTATGTGGTTACTATGTCAATAGAACCTGTGGCAATCTTAGCACCAAGAGAAGGGAAGACATGACAAATAGACAATGATATTATATGGTTGACAATTTCTCTCTAATATTAAACCTTCTTCATATGATAGCAAGTTAGTAAATTGATCTTCCAGCACACCATATTTTAACAACATAATATCTGTAGAGTTATCCCTAATTATATGGGGAGCTTTAATATGAGTTGAACATTCCCAGTTGACTATACATTTATATGTATGTAGAAGAGTTACAGATATAGTTGTGTTTATGGTATAATGCTACAAACTCTCCTCTGCAGGAATGTTATTTAAGGACCAAGGATCCATTTAGTTTTGATTTGTGAACATTCTTTTGACCTTACATGTTTTTATAATTTATGAAGACTTTCTCTACAACTACTCATCCTTCTCTTGTATTTCTAGTGAAAATAAGGTGAAAAAGAGGTTCCTCTACACATTTTTATCTTATTCCAGATGATAACCTATGAAGACAGAATCTCTCAGCACCTATGATATATAACTGTTAACATTTTTTGCCTCAATCTTTGTCATAAAATTTCTGAATAATATTTACATAAAATGTCATGTGTACAGATACAAATATATTTCCACTTTGTGTGGAATATATTGTGTGTATAGGTTATTCCTACAAATAAAGTGTGAGTATAATAATGGCAATTAAAGAATGAATAGGTATAGGAAGTGTTCAGCATTTCCTCAGATTTACTTATAGTGAAGATCTAAAAAGCAGCCCATTGTTACTGATTCTCTAGTATGTAGTGTTATTAGGACCATAAAGTGCTGAGGTTCTCCAGGACTACAAATAGAAGAAGTATAGTGAAAACAAAACATGAATCATGATCATTTTGACATTAAACAGAAATCATTATTTAGGAAAATCAATTCTATTTGAGAAAATTGTAAATTGTAATTCTGTGACAGAATATTGTTATTTCTGTCTTGCATGTCACATGCTAGAAGGTTTTCTAGTTCCTATTAATAATAAATCAATACTGGAGCTTATGAGCTTCTTTCAACCTCCACATAAATTTCATGTAATTTAGTGAGATATTCTTCCTGATTATTTAGTCAGAAGATCTACTGAAAGTGACCATCAATATTTTACAAGCCTGGGAGGAGCCTCTTAAGCACATGGTGGCTGCAGTGGCAGCACTTCCAAATGCATCTGATATTATGCTGTCAAGAACAAAAGAGTTGGAGGAAAAAGTTTTAGGCCTTCTGGAGGGACTGAAGATCACAATCAGCAGGGTGAGTCCACTCATACTTCACATTCCTTTGCTTCTCTCCTGTGTCAAAGAGGTGTTTTGTTTGATGAGTAGCAAGTATTTCAATACTTCATGCCTGAAACTAATATATATATAAAATATATGAAATTGTATATCTATGTGTGTTTATGTACAAATGTGTTATATATGTGTATATATATATGTATGTATAAATTATACATCTATTTTTTTCATGTTCTTTACTGAGAACTATACATACCAGTACTCTTGAAAGTATCTGGTTTGCATAGTAACATATAGTGTAGCTTTCATGGTGTATGATATCTCAGACTAATTCAGAAAATCTGATAACAATCTTGGAACTCCAAAACCTTACTGCAATTTTGAAAATGTTTAATATGTTCATGAATTTGGATGAAAGCATTATATAAAGAATAGATTGAGTTTAAACATAGAAAATTAAAATATTCTCAAACCCATAAGAAGTAATGATCCCTGTGAGAATTAGCTGAGAAAGCATAAGCCCTTATATTATCCTTTTGTCAAATGCATGTATACCATGAAAAGTTATCTCCCAGTTTCTCAATAACTCAGTCTAACTCTACATTGGTATATTTCTTCTGGGACCAATGACACAACAGAAAATGTGCTCATGTTAAGGGGCCTAATGCCTTCAAGATAATATATGACAAACTTGTTCTATATTAATACATTTTCCTTAAAGTGTAACTCAACCTTTGACACTTCTACAGAATGAGGCTAAAGAAAGACACGGGATAAATGCCTTCTTGGGTATGAGGAATTTGATTCCAGAAGCCACATAAAATTAAAGAGATGTAGTGACTACTCTGTAGTATACAAACATTAGATCACAGAAAGATCACTGGTGTTTGCTAAAATAAAAGCAGATACCTCAAGAAATGATAGAGAAATATGGTAACCAACTGTGGAACTTTAGACAACATTTATTCTGATCTATTAATGCTGGTACATGAATTCTGCAAATGTATACCCCCCACATGTATATATGTATATATGTGTAATATGTATATAATATATATATATATATTCATGTACACGGAGGTATTATTACCAAGTAATACTAACAGTGTAATCTCTCTCATTTCCATCTTTAGATTCAGCCCAGATCTGTTGAAGATGAGTTTACATCCTGGTCTGGATGGTTAGATTTGCAGTCATCTGATGAAGCTACTCGCAACCTTGCTCTTTATACACTGGCCCGCTGCATACGCAGGGATACACATAAAGTTGACAATTATCTCAAGGTTTTGAAGTGCCGAGATGTCCATAACAACAACTGCTGAGCTCAAATCTTTGTTCACTGTCATGGAGAAGGTCCTTGATAATCCGGATGTTCAAAGTTCCATTGAATCTCTACCTTTTGGTGTATTCCTAAGTTTAATGGATATGTTATTCTAAAATAAACACTGATTATTTATAAATTCAAAATGAAGATTTGTCATTGTTCCATGAGCATTTCATGCAGAATTTAGTAATGATATCAAATATTTTTCTTAAGTAATTTTAGTTTACAAAAATCAAAAGAGTACTTGTATTAGTCAGAATGAATGGATGACCTAACATATTAGAACCAGAACAACAATTTCCTAGTAATCAGAAGAACCATTTTGCCATGAAGATGGAATTTTATGCAAACAAACAATGGGCAATGAGCACTTTCTCAAAGTCTCATCACAGACAATGCAATTGTTATATTAACACTAAACACATTACACACACACAATGTACACAAATATATTGAGATTATAATATACTACATTTCTCCCTTCCATTTTCTCCCTCCAAGACCTATGTTTTCCTTCTTGCCTTCTTTAAAATTTGTGGCCTCTTTCCTTCACTAATTTTTATTACAGTTGTATATATATTGCTAAAAATAACCTACCCAGTCTGTATAGTTTTGTTGAGTTCATGTTTCTAGTATTGAACATTTTACACTTAGCATTCCTTAGTTGCCTGTTGTTCTTAATATAAAGTTGAGACTTTTTTAAACACTGTACATTCTGTTAGGGAACATGCATGTTACATGACTCTTGACCTATTGCAAAAACCATGGAGCTTCTGCCATATTAAAAGAAAATCACTAATCCAGATCTGAAACAGTTGGGGGTTTTGTGAGATTCTATTCCAGAGGAACATTAAAAACAAACAAACCAAAACCCAAACCCAACAAATGCACTATTTACCCCAGACTCAGATTCTGTGACAGACCAAAGAAGTCACACCAACAAATGCCAATTGATGAAGCATTTGATTTTGGAGGGTCACTTATAGGAATAAGAGCAAAGACTTATTTACATGCCCAAAACATCTTAAAGATAGCTACATAACCTATAGCAAACTATAGTATGGATAACAGTTCAAAAAAACCTGGAAATCTGGATGGAGCACAATATAAAACTTGGACAGAGCTCAACTAGTTAGAACCCTTACTGGTCTCAGCCTGTTCCAGGCAGCAACTGGTCTTGGGCTTCAGTACAGCTGGCATGGTCTCTTCTTTTTCCTTTTTCAAGCAGATCAGCTCAGGTCAACCTCTTCCAGATATCAGGTGGTCTCTGCTTCTTCCTCACAGCATAGCAAGTTGGAGAGTGCCTATCAGCATTCTTACAGTTTATACCTGTTTGAGATTAAATAGACCTAATTTAGTCAAGTGCAAGTACTCTCTGAATGTATTCAGGTATTTTCCTCCCCCGGGGGAATAATAAGGTTTCCTGCAGGATGGGATGTTTCCTTCCCTTAGAAGCCCATTGCCTCACCACTGCCCCTTTTAACAACTGACAGCCATGAGAAGCTTCCCTCCAAGATGGAAGGCATTGCAACAAAAGGTTCAGTTCCTAACTTCTCTAACAGTAAAGTTATTTCAGATGAGGCCACAAGGTTTTGACACAAAAAAAGAGAGAAAGCTAAAACCAAACCCAATAACAATAAGGTCAGAGAGATATTTAGAATCCATGAGCTTTCCTGTCTCATGGCAAACCTCTACTCAAGAAATTGGCTCAATAGACTATGGAACATATATATTTTACAGATTGTCACAAAGAGCACAGAATAAATTAAAAACATTCCTAAAGCACTTCCCACAACTGTGAAAATCATGAAATTCAACAATCAGAGTAATCTTCATATGATCGTCTGCAGTCCAAGAGGAGCAATCTTTGGATTAAACTGCTTTCCTGTCATCCTAAAGACATAACTTTGATATCTAAAACTGAAGATGTCTGCCCCTCTAGCATATACCTGAATTCTAGCCCTGGTGCAAAAGTCACATGAAGATCCAGCTACTTTACCCCAACTTATGAGATTCAGACCACTACAATAACCTTTTAAAAATGAAGTCAAAAATTTCTTTAAACACACACACACACACACATACAGAAAAGACCTAGAAACACTGTCATATCAAAATAATATCAAAATCAAAAGATCCCCAGTCTTTTACATCTGCCTATCCAATATACATTATATAAATGTGAAAACCTCACCAACAGCTGCAACTTCCTATATTCCAATCACAGGAGCCAGTTCACCATGAGATTCTTGATAGATGCTTTTGAACAAAAAGGTCTATAGGCAGATGGACCCATAAACCCATAAAATGAGTTTTTATGATTTCCATAAAATCATGTAAAACATTTAGAGGTAGAAGAAAAATGAATTTTGTTGTTTTCTTTACTTACTTCCTTTAAAAAGGAGAGAGAAGTAAAATTTCTCCAACAATTTTTTGCAGGCATCCTACTTCTAAAAATGTCTGTATTGCAAGGTACTGATCATATCTATGCAGGACTATTAAGTGGCTTAACTTGACCTTTCATGTGGATTAAGAGATGTGGAGCTCAGTATGGTTTATTTGCTACTGTAGACACATGTGATTTGTTGTAGGAAATTAACATTCTTGTATTTGTAGAGATCTTTTCTTACATAAGATTGGGAATAGAAATTTTCTATCTCATTTTGTAGGTCAGTTATGGATAGTAAATGTTATATAGCTGAGAAACATAAAATTTTCAATAAAAAGGTAACAGATTGGTGGGCAGAGTATAAGTTACTGTCTGTGTTTATAATTTAATGCCCCAACCAGAACTAAACTACAGAATAGTGTTTAAAGGTGATGTTTGGCTTCTCTGAATATGTAAACAGTGAAGATGGACAGGAAAATGGGAGGAAAGGTTGATCAAGGAAATCATGGGAAGCAAATGATAGCATATTTGCATTGAGATTCAGCAGGCTATAAGGATTCAAAATTATCTCTGCATTAAAGTTCCCAGAGCATTTTTCCCCTTTGAAATAAATACACTGAACGTGAATGGGATATGTAAACCTATGATTCATGCCACATTTGGTGTTACTTGCTTGAGCATGAACTGGAAATGGGCCTTGAATTACTACGAGAAGCAAGAACAAGACAGAATTGAAATTGCTGACTCTTTGAGCCCTTTGAGCTAAACATTAAGACAATAAAGATCTTATATTTACCAAACCATCTAGTACGCTAAGATAGAACCCATAAACATCTTGAATCCCTAAGCTATCTAGAAAGGTAATGAGAGTAGCTAAACAGAATGGACTACCATTTTACTTGCTCCCTTAATGTTCTGGGCAGCGAAACTGACTCCATCCAGTCAGCACCATGGAAGATGCCAGCATAAGAAACCATCTCAGGTTGAATGAAGGTAGTATATAGATAAGTACATAGAACTCAATTTTTCACCTAGGCTTGTCTATGTGAGCACCCAATCCCTTTTAAGTCTTGAGACCTCTTCTTAATTCTACTACAGCTTTATGACTTTTTGGTTATTGCTCCTACAGATTCTCATCCTCAGTGGCAATTTCTACACTTTGAAGAACTCTAGTCCACAAATGTCCCATGATATAATGCTTCTCGTATGTGACAAAATTCAGTTGGAAAAGCTTCAGGAAAAAGTATCAAAAAAGTTAATGGATTAGAAGAAGGTACCCATCAATGAATATCACAATTTCCGACTCTTAGAAGTTAATGGAATGGTGCCCTAGTGTAGAGGTTAAATCTCTTTCTTACTAGTATTTGAAAATCTTCTCAAAGACGAATTCTACTCTAAACAAAATTTCAGTTGCACACAAGATTTTAAAAGAGTAAACTCTGTTATTTATGAGACTGCATTTCTGGGTTCAGTGGCTGAAAAATCCAGGCTTCTAAATACCTCAAATATTCAAAACAAGGAATGGTTTATTTAGTGTCAATGAGAACTTTGAAGTCTATAGAGGTTTATTATCAACAAGTGTTTTTTTAACTCAGCTATATGGTAAAATTAGCAGCCACCTGGTAAGGTACCTGCACTGCTATTACAGTGGCAATGAGTTATGGTTACAAGAAATAATGTACAGAAATGATGTAAAGCTAACAATATGTAATACACTGTAAGTTTACAATGTGATACATTGTAAGACATCAAAAAAGCATGTCTCTGAGGAGATCATAGGCATCATCTAAGTAAGTATCATAGCCTTTTTAGATGAACATCATATGGCTATCAAAATTCCTTTTAAACAATTGTTATTCTGCCTACGTAATATCAGAACAGTATCTACTTTTGAAAAGTAACTGTTTATAGTTTGCTGGTAACAGAGAGAAATCCATGTTTTGATAAAATGTTAAAAATTGACTGTTGTTATAACATGCCAGCCCAAGGCTAAAATAAGAACTGGTGGTAGACTTTTGTCACCACTTGAGATATTAAGAGAGCATACAGACATGACAGAAAGAATATAATCCTCTGATCCTGAGTGATCATATAAGGAAATAAACATATTTTCCTATTTGACCTGACTCTTAGTCATTATTGAACTGAGATGACTTAAGTGATTTCCAAAATAGTTTGAACCCTGGACATTGTTGCACAATGCAAAGCAATACATGTAGAGATAGACTGCATCAAGAATAAGGTATATTTTTCTATTTTCTTAGGGGAAATAACCATGGAACTTTTCACTGGAAAAAAACATTACTTCCCTCTGCCTGCTGACCTGCATGACCTTAGGAAGATCCTGTTAGTATATATGGAAGGTGCTAAGTTGAAGGAAGGAAAGCAGTCTGATACAGCAGCATACTTGTAGTCTACACAGCAGAAGAACTTCTCTGAAATGCAGCTCTCTTTGACTCTTCCATGCTTCTGTAAGTAGCACTTTATTCATACTCTAAGTTTCATTAGTATGTTACTTCACAATGGTGGTTTAGATAGAACCTCAGAGTCCTTGTTCTTATTGGTATTTGGAGAAGTGTTGCTTTTCATGACTCACCAAAATGCAAGACAATATTGATCTGAGAATTATTATTGTGACAGTTGCTAAATCAATCTTGAGATCAATGATTCTCTATATAAATTCCCATTCTCTGAGGAAACATGCAAATGCAATGTCCATAGATATTTTGAAGTTGCTTACTATTTTAATTTTTTTGACAAGAGGACAAAAAATGGACACTATTATGGGTCTAAGGGACATGTTCTTGTAACCAACTTCCAAGCTCAGGACTTCTCACGGAACAAGAAACAAGACCAAGAAAAAAAAACAAAAAAACAAAACAAACAAACAAAACAAAACAAAAAAAACCTTGTTGCTGAAATTGAGAAGTTGAACTTTATTGAAAACATAGGATTCAATAGTCTAATTGTGTCAGTCACAGAAGGATAAAATAACATAAGATGTAAGGGCTTAGATATTTCTCTGATTTCATAAATTTACGTACGGAGAATTTAGGCTCTGGAACATTAGACAATGACAGTCAGTTTGTAACTTTAGCAATTCGTTACATGCATTCATAGCAAATGGAAAAGAAGGCATGTTTTAACAAGTCATCTTAAATTTTAAGTAACATTTGCAAGAAAAATTAATTAATAGACTAATTAAAACTTATTTAATGAAGTAAAAATGAACATAAATTCCCAATCCTTTAAAATATATAGAAAATGGCTTGAATTCTTTGACTCAGGATTAATCTCAGCTAAAATGTTTACAAAGTTGAGACACTGCTGAGGCAAACCAAAGCTGAGAGTATTCTCCTACTTCTCAATATGGGGATGAGAGAAACATCACTTGTCACCTAAGTTTACACATTGGGCTAAGTAATTCCAGACTCCATCTGTACAGAACCAAGGACTGTAGCAGCACAGGAAACTCTGAACAGACAGAATATCCTATACAATGTCACTAATGTATCACTTCTCTCTATAGCTGGAACACTCCTTTTACTGGTAGTGTCGAACTTGCTGCTTTGGGAGCATGTGACCTCATCACCAAATTCCCAGGTGTCCACTGAAAGCCTGTACCAAAGTGTGGTTGAACTGTCACACTACACCTATGATCTTGCTTCAAAAGTGTTCATTGAATTTGTAAGTGGTGTACTTCCTTCAGGTTTCTATTATGAAGGTGCAATCATAAAATCCTACTTATAACACAGAGCTCATCATGAATCAAATTTTAAACGCAATAATTTAATAAATGAAAAAGAGGATATCAAGAAGTGGGGAGATTGGGAAGTTTCACGAAAACTTAGACTTGTAAAGAAAGCAGTAAAGATATTCAAGTTTTATTAATGAACTTTTTTAAAAAGCAAAATATTTTAATTTGAACCCCAGAAAGTATTGATTGGGTACACTGTGAATCCCTGTCTTTCATGAAGGGGACCTCGGAATTGGCATTCTCACTTAGCAGTTTGTAGAAATCTGTTGTCAGAGAAATAATTTGTAATAAATTGTGTAAATAGGGTAAAGTTAAACCTTGGAAAACCATGTTAAGAGGAAAAGACAAACCAATTCTGAGAATTGTTGTTTTTAATTTCCCATGGATAAATGCATCACTTAACTTGGATGACAGGTTTAGAAAAATTTTTTCCCTATTTCTAGTGAATGCTCTTGATTGGTTAGGACTAATCAATGAAGAAAGAAACATCAGTGCCAGGTTGAAAATATGGATCATATGCCTTTAGATTTGCAATGAATACATTTCTCTCTTGCCATTCTCACTCACTAGTTTTCTCAATTTCTTTCACTGTGTATTCAATACTCATTCTTTCAACAGTATACTATTTCTAGGAATCCACTGTACTCCTACAAATTTACGAGTTTTCATTATTGAAACTATAATTAATTCCTTCACTAAATACCATCTAATATTGCAGTGGCTTTCAACCTATGGGGAATAATTCCTTTGAGATTACAACATATCAGATAGTCTGCAAACTGATACTTACATGATGATACATAACAGTAGCAAAAGTACAGTTATGAAATAGCAACAAAAATATTTTCATGCAGGGGATCACCACAACATGAAGAACTATATTAAAAGGCCATAGCTTTAGGAATGTTGGGAATGATGGCAACCACTTTCTATAGACTAATGTATAAATATTAAACAAAACTTTTAAGAACTTTCCTTCCCTCATTGGTAAATACTTCCTTAGAATACAACTAGATTTTTGTGATTGATTTTGACATCATTAATGATTATAAACTACTTTTATCATACACACGAGTACTTAATAGTAAATATTTAATTTACCAATGCCTAGGTAAAAGAATTATGTATTTATGTGCATGAAGGACCAGAATAATTAAACTGTAGATGAATATACATACATTATTCTATAGCACACACTTCAAAATTATAAAGCAGTGATAGTTATTCTCCAGGTTTAGAGTATTTTTGTTAGTGTTTTATTTTCAAACAAAAGGGCAAAGAACAAGAGAATACTATAGAAAGTAAGAGTACTAGAAGGTAGAAAATTCTATTGCTTATCCAAAGAACAGAAAGTGTAGACAGTGTTTTCTTCATTACTTTGTTTTCTTTTATATAGTTAATATTTATTAAAGTGATTTATATCTACAAAATTCATTACTGATGTTTAAACTCTATTTATTGAATATTTACTCCATAGAAAAAAACCTTTTAATTTATTCTAGAATATGAAGTTTGGTAGGAGAACTTGGACACAGAACCTGATGTTAAACAACTGCCACACTGCCTCTATCTTCACTCCAGAAAACAGCGAACAAGTCCATGAGACAAAAGTAGGTTTCCTCCTGGTTGTCACAAGAGCAAATGAAGTAATGTACAGGATACTTGTGCTGTGTGTGGTTACTGGAGCCATAGCAGGTGTGATAATCACAGATGAGAGAAGGGAAGAAGAATAACAATCAATATATGGTTGATAGTTTCACACTAAGAAAAGTGCTTGTCCATAGGAAAGCAGGATAATAAACTGGCCATTCAGAGCACCATATTTTTACAGCACATTTCTTGTGGGGTTATTCTTTATATATCCTAGAAAGTTTAATATAACTTGGGCTTTCCTGGTTGACTATACATTTATATGTATGTAGAAAAGTAGGAAAGTTGCAGATACTGTAATGTTTATGAACTAATGATAATAATATTCTCTCCACTGGAAGAATATTACTTAATGACAATATTCATTTCTTTTTCCTTTTAAAGACTCTCTTAGATGTACTTCTGTTTCTTCATTGTTTTTTCTTGTATCTCAAGTGAATATGAGCTGAAATGGGAGTTTCTCTGCTTAATTTAAGTTAATCTTGATAATAACCTTTGATATAATGGTAACTGAACTTCTTAGTACCTATAATGTATACATTTATAATATCTTTTCTCCTAGTCTCTATAATAGCCTGAAAAATAATTTATACAAAACTTTGAATGTGTGCATGTCTCATATATATATATATGTATGTATGTATGTTTGTATATATATATACATACATGCATATATATATATATATATATATATAATCTATTTCCCCTTTCTGTCTATTACTACTAACTAGTACTCAACATAAAAACAGGAATAAGTATGAGTATAATAATAGTAAATGAATGAAGAGGAGATACAGGAAGAGGTGATTATTTGTTCAGATATACTTGTCTAGAATTCTCAAAAGCATTCTATTGACATTGCTTAATTTAATCCCCAAAAAAGATCTCTAATACACAATATTAATAATATCATAAAAAGTGAGGCTTCAGATGCTTTTATACAAATTTCAACACATGAATCCTGAGTAGAATATGAATCCAATATTTATTTACCTATCACATTCAATCCTAGTCCCTAGGTGGCAACATTTCAGACAATGGATTTTGCTATCAATTTTGACCCACATTTTTTTCTTCACATGCTTTATGTGTTTCCTATAAAATGTCCATGAGATTCCCCTACATTTAATTTTTATATTATTACCAAGACAGTAGAAAACAGAAATGGCACTGTGATATTCATATATTCTCTAGCAATGAGCACACACTTAAAAGGTCAACATTCTTTACTGGTATTAAAAATAACAGTGAACTATTGTTATGCAGTATCTGAGGAAAAAAAATGGGATGCTCTGCTAGAAGCAAGGAGAAGTTATCTATACTTAAGGCATTATAATTCTGAATGTCTTCTTTCTTTCCTTGTATTTCTACTTCAATATTTTACAGTGATAAAGCAGACATGCATATATTAATGAGCAATTGTTTAATGAGTGTGAAAATGATTTTTACCACTGATCTTGGACTATAGTATCATCTTTTTTGTATTATGAAAAGTCCATAGACACCTATTATGCTCGTGCAAACTTTGGTTTCCCATGGACAACGGAAGTTGAAAACATGATCAGTTTGACACTCACCAGAAATCACTGTTAAGGAAAACAACGATTCTACTTGAAGAAAAATATAATTTTGGGATAGAAAATTGTTATTCCTATATTGCAAAGAAGATTTTCTACATTCTTATTAAAAATGAATCAATACTGGAACTCTTGAGCTTTTTTCAGCCACCACATGTATTAATCCTGATATGTTTCACATAATTTAATGGGATATTTTTCATGATTGTCTAGTCAGAAGATCTCCTGAAAGTGACCATCAGTATTTTACAAGCCTGGGAGGAGCCTCTGAAGCACATGGTGGCTGCAATGGCTGCTCTTCCAGATGCATCTGATGTTATGCTGTCAAGGACAAAAGAGTTGGAGGAAAGAGTTCTAGGCCTTCTGGAGGGACTGAAGATCACAATCAGCAGGGTGAGTCCACTCATACTTCACATTCCTTTGTTTCTCTCCTGTGTCAAAGAGGTGATTTGTTTGATGGGATGTGAATTTTCAAAACTTCACTTCTGAGATATACCATATGTTGTGTACACACCCACACACACACACACACACACACGTATGATATATATCCAATTCATTGCATCCTTGCCTGTAAGGAAAGGCTGTTTATATATCCTACCTTCCTCAGGTTCTTTACTGAGAACCACACACACTAGTAATCTCAATAGAAAGTAGCTGGTCCTCATACTAACACAAAGATTACCTTTCATATAAGGTATTGATATTACTGAGTAATACAGATAATCATATAATGGTCCTGCCTGGAACTCCAAAACCATAACCTACTTAAGGAAATGTTTGATAGTTTCATAGGATTTGGGATATCAAACTATATTAGGAACAGGTTGAGTTTAAAGAAAGAAGAAAAAAACAAAAACAAAACAAAACAAAAAACAATGTTCTGCCGAAACCCATTAGTGTGAATGATGCCTGAGGAAACTGCTGAGAAAGTGGCAGCCCTTTTATCGAACTTTTGTCAAAAGCATGTGTACCATTCAAATGTCCAGATAGTTTCACTCATACTTGTATGAATATAACTTTTCTGATACCAATGACACAAAAGAATAAATCATATTTATTACCACATGATGTTTGCTTTCAGAGGCCTAATGCCTTCATAGTGCCTTAGCCCATATACTTGACAAACCTTCCCTTTACTAATACATTTTCTATCTAGCATAATACAACCTTTAATAGTTTTACAGAATGAGAATAATGAAATGGCTTAGTTTATAAATGGCTTCATTGCTGGAAACATATTTAACTCCAGAATCTACATAAAAACAAAAATATGTAGTAACTACTCCTTGCTATCCAAACATTAGGAAGGCAAAAAGATGGAGATCACTGGTAATTCTTTCAAAATAAGAGAAGCCATTGCAAGAGAATAAAAATAGAGAAAGATAGAAGCCAGCCCAGCAGTGGATGCTTAAACAATAATGACTTCTAATCTAATGCATGTGAGTGCATTCCTGCACATGCACCTTCCATGCATATACATACTTGCACACACAAGTTAATGTGAACAAGCATATTAATATGATCCTTTTCTTTCTGTGTTTAGGTTCAACCTGGAGCTGTTGAAAATGACTGTACTTCCTGGTATGGATGGTCAGATTTGCAGTCATCTGATGAAGCTACTCGCTATTTTGCTCTTAGTAACTTGTACCAATGTGTGCGCAGGGATACACACAAGGTTGACAATTATCTCAAGGTCTTGAAGTGCAGAGATATTCATAACAACAACTGCTAAACTCACATCCATGTTTTCTGTCACAGAGAAGGTCCTTGATAATCCAGACCTTCAAAGCTCTATTGTCTCTACCTCCTTTGTGCATTCCTGGGTTTACTGGATGTACTATTCAAAAAATTGATTCTTTGGAAATTTTAAAATCAAAATGAAGATTTGTCTATGTTTCATGGGTATTTAATGCAGAATTTAGAAATTATATTGGGATATTCATATCAAATATTCTCCATAAGTAAATTTAGTTTATGCAAGTCAAAAGAGTACTTGTACTAGTCAGAATGAGTGAAAATGACTTAGCATATTAGAACCAAAGCAAGAGTTTCCCAGTAATTAGTAGACCTATTTTTTCAAGAAGATGAAAGTTATGAATACAAACCTGGAGCAATGGCCACTTTCTTGAAGTCTCATCAAAGAATATAGTTGTTATACAATTGAAACATCATTAAACAATCATACACACACACACACACACACACACACACACGTAATTACAAAATTTCTCACTTTGTTTTCCTTCTTCCAAACATTGACGTATTGTCATATTCTCTTCTTGGTCTTTTTTTAATTAATTTTTTATCACATATTCATACACACACACACACACACACACACACACACACATATTCTCACTTGTTGCTGACACATATGTTTCAACAATGAACAATTGGTATTAGACAGCCAATTGGTGTGTTTTTCCTTAGGGAAACTATTTATTTGACCTTACTGTTCCTTAGCTGCCTGTAGTTCTTTGGTAGACTTGATACCTTTTTAAATATCCTATAGGCTGTTAGGATATATTCATGAAACATCTATGAGTTTCCCTAATAACTTTTTAATCTTAATTCTTTATAATGCCATCTTAGATAGATTCTAAATATTTTTTGGTTCTGTATTATTATGCATTTAACAGCACCTCATATCATATTCAACCTTTTTAACATCCCACACTCATGCCCCAATTATTAATGTCACAAATCGGGGAAGGCCAATTTCATATGGTCTTCTGATGTTCTGCCTTTTATCTCTTCTACATGTTAATGCTTGTGACCTTTCAGGACTCAGCAGTTAAGAATAAATGACAAATGGTGATAAATAAAGTGACTAAGGTTCAAGTAAATTCCTCTGAGAATCAGGGGTTTCTGTTGTGGGCACAATAATGTTATTCCCATACAACCAGTATCCATATATAAAGAGGCAGTTCTTTATCATGAGATATGCCCTGACGAGGGTCTGTTCTCTTCTTCCCAATTGTCTCATTGATGATGTCTCTTAGCCTCTGCTCTGGTCCCCTTAGCCTGAAAGCCTCTTAGTGCAGAAAACATTAGTTCACAGGATGCTTTCCTCTAACAGATGCAGGAATTTCATGAGCCATAGCACTACAGCAATAGAGTGACAGAAGTATTGGAACACTGCTGACCACTATAAACAAAACCTAAAGCACCACAAATAATACTGACATAAATCATTCAATGTATATTTGTCACTTCTTTGAGTTGTTTGGCTACAGTAATAACCTATTCTCATAAATATAGATATTGATAAGCACCTTAGCTTCTACATCATACTCATTACTAAGGCAATAGCAACTGTATTTCCCCCCACATCAGCACTGTGAATGTCCTGCTCACAGTTTTTTTTCTAAGCTCCCAAATAACAGTAGTAATTTCTACCTGTGGAGCTGCCATTGTCTATTAAGAGATCTTATTTTAAGTTTTGTTTATTTTATTTTACATGTGTGAGCCTTTGCTTGTATGCATTACCAGTATATCTGTGGGCCACATGTGTGGATAATATCTGAGGAGGGTATTGGATGCCCTAGAACTGTAGTTATGAGTGGCTCTAAGTTATGAGTAGCTCATTTGATTCCTGGGAAAAGAAGCTGTAACCTCTGTAATAACAATAAGTGTACCTTCCCACTGAGACATTTCTCATCAAATCCCTCCCTGCTGAGATTTAGGAATTTGGGAAAAAGATGAAGTAGAGAGCCTATAAAAGCCAGTGGCATTCAATACCATCAAGAAGAAAAGGAGTTGAAGACCCAATGGGGCTAATTCACATAGTAACTCACAGAGCCTATAGCAATGTGCACAGTTCTAAGCTATATGGGCTCCTAGGGCTAAGAGGCTAAGTGGACACAAGACCCCCATTAATACTGGAAACTATTTTCAATTAACAACTCTTTGCAGAGGAAAATTAGTTTCCTCCAGTGTAGTCTCACTGGGTTTACAAACCATACTCAAGATGTATCACATGTCTAAGACATAGAAGGACAACACAAACTGAACTCAATGGTATTTTTAAAAGGGTTTTATTCTCATAACACTTAGTTTTTGTTTGAGATTTTATTTTTAGTTCCTTATTTGTTTTCCTAAAGTTAGAAAGAAAGAAATGTTGTGTATTTGTGTGAGGGGACAGATTAGAGGGAACTGGAAGACTTGGAGGAGAATAGTATTCAGAATTCATAATATGAATAATCTATTTTCAATAAAAGTATAATTATTTTTTAATCTGATTTTATTCTTCAAAGCTTGTACCACATTGTTGCTTACCGCTTCCACTATGAAGCATGCACAATGCACAATCAAGTAGTATGTTCAGTGACAGCTCCCTGCAGCAATTTTAGAAGCACCTTCCAGTGGCACAAGAGCTATACCACAGAGAAAGAACATTTCCAGCATAATGTTAGACTTATTTGTCCAAATACTGCAACCAATAAATGAAACATTTTAAGCAATAGGGTCTTACCATCCTGCTCTGGAAGACAACCACTAGCAATGACAATAGTCTTTATCATTTTAAAAGCTTCTAGGGTAATGGTTCTCAATCTGTGGTTCATGACTCCTATGTGGGTTGAAAGACTTTCCCAGGGGTTGCACATCAGATATCCTGCATATCACATATTTACACTGCAATTCATAAGAGTAGCAAATGTACAGTTAAGAAGTAACAATAAGAAAAATTTTATGATTGGAGGTTTGTTACCACATGTTTGGAACTGTATTAAAAGGTCACAGCACTAAGATGGTTGAGAACCACTTCATTACAGGGTAGATATTTTATTTTATAATGTTTAGTCAAAGAAATTTAATTACTGTGTGCCAGTGAGACCAGATATTTACAACTATGAAAATGTATTAATTGTTGTTCAGCAGTCACCTTACATATAGAATAAAAATGATGTGTTTTTAAGTACTCACAGTATTTTTAGAGTATGTGTTTTTAGTGCTATATTCCTAAACAATACTGTTTAGGAAGGGAAAACAACACGGGAATTAAAAGAAGAGAAGTGTATTGGAGGACAGAAACTTAGATTGTTTCAATGGGAAGAGAAACAGAAAGACAGTGTTTGCTTAATTTCTCCTTTTGAATTTCTGTATTGTTACCCTTTGCTTAAAAATTATATCTACAAAATGCACTGCTAACATACCTATTCATTCACTATTTCACCCTAAAAAATTAAATCTTTCCAATACTTCTATGCTTCAAAGTATGTTAGGAGAGCTTTGACACAAAACCCTGCCTCTATCACTATGCCAGGAAATGGAACAAGTCCATCAGACAAAAGTAGATTTTCTCCTTTATTCTTACAAAAACAACTGAAGTAATGCACAAGCTGGTTGTGCTGGGACCATAGCATATGTTGTAATCTCAGGTACAAGAGAAGTGAAGAAGAAGAAGCAAGAGAGATAATTACTTTATACAGATGACAATGCACACTCTAAGACAAATACTTTCTTGACTCCCATGGGAGGCCTGCCCCTGTTTGTAGGTGCAGGAGCTGATAGTGGGTGAAAGGGGATAGATGGGAGGTGGTGTAAGACAATGGGAAGAGAGAGGGCAGGGAAACTGTAGTTATTATGTGACATAAATGAAAAAATTAATATCAAAGGAAAACAAAGCACACAAAAAAAGACAAAAAGACAAATGCTTGATCACATGATATCAGGTTCATAAATTGTCAATGGAGAGCTATAGAGTGCCATGTTTAGGGTGCTTTTTTGGGAATCATTGTTAATATTGTCTGGAATGCTTTAATCTGAACTGGACATCCCTTGTTGAATACATGTTTATATGTATGTGGAGAATTGAAGACACAGTAGTGTCATGATATAATACTAAATGTTATTCATATGACTGTATTATTCATTGTCTTATTTCTTCTTCATATTCAGGTCTCTCTTGTTCCTTTTTGTCATTATTTGTGCAGTCCTCCATGGCTGCTCTGCCTTGTATTACACCTCAAGTGATATAATAGGTGAAAGAGGAACCCTCTCTATACATATCTTGTTTCTGATAACTTATGCTTTGACGCAGACTGCATACTTAAGCATTTAAAGCAAAATTTCATGGTCTCTTCTCTCGCTGTACCTGTTGTAACCTAAATACAATTCACTTGTTACTTCTTAAGTGTATATCTCACACACGTAATCTACTTCCTCAACTTTATTACTAGAACCAAAAACTGGTACACAAACTATGCTCACGATTAAAGTGTGCATATAAAAATAGCATATGGAGGAAGGGGTCAGCATTTGCTCAGGTCTACTTATCTAGAATCCTTAAAGGTTGTTCATTGGCACCAACTCATTTAATCCTCATAAAAGCTTCCAAATACACGGCATTAATAGGACTATAAAGAAGTTAGGCTCTGGTTCTTTAGAGAGTTTATATAGAGATTATAGCACATGAATCCTAAATGGAATATGAATCTGAAATTTAATCCCTTAGCAGAAAAGATTCAGGCAATAGATTTTGCTATCATCACTTGGCCTGCCTTTTTACCCCAACAGGCTTTACAGGTTTCCTATAAAATGTCCATGAGGTTCCCTCAGTACTTCAATTTCCTTACCAATGCTGTAGCTAAGAGACATGGCAGCAAGCAATATAAATCAGAGATGATATTCAGATATTTTTCTAACACAGATCAAAGACTAATCATATCAAAATTCCATTTTTTGTTTCACTGATATTGGCATTAAAAGCCACATTAAGCCATTGTCCTTCTCCAGTGCCTATCAAAAGTTGGTTA